TAGTACCGTCCCAATAACTAAACAATTCTGGTACTGGTATTCTTTTTTCTTTCTTGATAGCATTGTAAATTTTAGTAACTCAGTTTGTTAGAAGTATGTATTATCATATGTTTATATTCACAGATAAATTGTCTGTACTATATTATATATTTCTGTACACTGAGTCATACGGCGAGATATTTTAAAATGTGCACCATTTCAAATAAGTAATAGACAAAATTGTCCAGAGCAAGCTGTTAGTAAGGTCATAAACTTAGTTATACGAATGTGTAATTTAGGTCCTGTTGGTCTGGTGGATTCTTTTAGTAACGTTTGTACACATATCCATATAAATATTGATAAAACTTAATCTTAATCGACTAAATTTGAATTTATTACGGGTAATATTACAGAAATAATTATTGTATGGTTTTCTTACGTTAGAAGTGATCATTATTATAGCCTGTTAATGGATAGGCCCGTTAAGCTTTAATAAAGAAGAACTAACTAACTATATAGTTTTTTATAACATATTAAAAAACAATCGTATTAATTGTCTGGGTGGTTTGAGAATATATACATATACATATATATATATATATATATATATATATATATAGTGAATCTCTTTCAGTCTTTCTAAATCTAAGATCTCTCTAAAGTCTCTTTTAATATTAGATAATGGCTGTGAGAGTAGGGGAAGAAGAAAAGTTTCACTTCTTCTTACAGCCAGATTTAAAGAGACCACGAGAGATCTAGAGAGGAAACGAAGAAGAGTTTTACTTCTTACAGCCATTATTGTAGATTTAGAGAGACTACAAGGGATCTTGAGAAGGAAGATGATGAGTCCAACTTCTCACATACATTTAGAGAGACTGGGAAAGGTCTACCTTTGTAGATCTGTAGAACAGTACTAAAATACCTGTATACAAACGTCATTTATTCTAGTATAAAGTTTCTTTGAATGAAAGTTAGCCCAGCGACTTTTAAGACCCTGAACTCAATTTTTATCAAATTGATAATAAATATGTGTCATGTTGAATATATTGAAGAACTATTGTATGAAAAACATATTGAACAACTATTGAAATTTAAGTAGTTAATAATAATTTATAAGTTAACTCTCTCTAAGAATACTATAGTGTTAAAGTTTCAAAAAATCTATTACAAAAACAACTTTTAGTTTTGGACATTAATGTGTTACCTTCTTAGATTGTATTTAATATCATTTTGATAAGTCTCACATATTTCAATTAAATATTAAAAGTAGGCTTTACAAGTGATTCTTAATAAATATATTTTAATTAAAGGACGAAGGATCTAGCAGTCTACTGCCTTATTCTTAGTTAACTTTAAAATAATTATAAATGGTTACTAACAAATAAATAAATATTTTAATTAAATCTTTCAAAATAAACAAAATCTTTTATCCATAAGTTCAGAAAGTATGTAATTACAAAAACTATGAATAAAATAAATTATTTTTGGTGCTATACTCATTAAATTTATGACTTTTGTTTTTATTTGTTTTTTATTTATTATATTTATTTATTTTAAAATTTTTTTAATGTGCAAATTAAACTCTCTAATGACTAATTGAATTCATTCAACTCAATGAAAACAAAAAACGCCGCATTAATAAAAAAAAATAATAATGTATACATAAAATTATTTATATTGGCTACCAAAAATACATAAGCACAACTCAAGCAGCAATTGTATCTGAAGGATGCTCCTGAAACGCTTAAGAATAAAAAACCAATAAAACTCAATATACGAAATCATAAATCATAAAATTCATAACCGTAAAGTGACAGCTCCCAGGACAGTACGAATGCGCATGCCCATATGACTGACGACGTGAACAGCGCCTTCAATGAACTACGAATACAATTGCACACAGGTACATTGATACACAGATACATAGATACACAGATACATTATACGTTTCAGTACTTAAGTATATATTTTAGCACAGTTGCACTTTCTGAAGGGAAAAAAATTTAGATCCTGTAATCTAGATAAGAGGACGGATGAATGCAGCACAAATGGAAAATGATTTAGAAGTTGTGTTGCAATGCATTTCAGATAGAAATGCAGGCAGAGAAGTATCTGTGATCTACTTCCATTGTACGAATGCATATTTGTATTTTGAACTACTGATCGTGGCGCTTCCACTGCTTATCAAATTGGTCATCTGTTGTGAAAGATACAAAAAATACAAAAACAATAATAAAAACCATAAAAATACCAAGGCAGAAACCGTGGAAAAAGTAACAATATGATTTCAACTTGTTTTTGTTATGAATTTCATTGCTTTGTCTTTGCTTTCGATTGAGTTTGGGTTTGGGTTTGGGATCCAACAAAGGAGAAGCACAGCAAGTGAATGCTGAATGTGGAAAGTCAGATATGAGCTTTTTGATTAGATCGTTAGGTGCAGCGTGCTTCGATTTTGGTGATTGTTGCCGGTAGCGCACGCACATAACAATAATGCGAATTC